ATTTCTCTCCTGCATCAGTGCCAGCCCCAGGAATCAGTGTGTTTCCACTGGCGACACTTTCCCACCACCTGCTCGACGGAGTAGGTGCGGGAGGAACAGAGGACTGGCTACGAAAAGCCCCACCTACAGTCCCGGAAACGAAAGAAGACTGGCCTACAGCAGCCCCACTTCCAATTCCAATCGAACCAAAGCTTGCAGCACCAGCAGAGGAACGATTAACAGCGAATACATCAGGGTTCAAGCCTGAGCCAACAAGGCTACTACTCCCAACCCCCATGCTGGACACGCCAAGGCCTTGGGCATCGCCGCCCGTGCCTCCCGCGGTCCTGCCGGTAGCATCATCGGAAGAATGCGTACCACCAGCATACTCTGTTCCGCCGCCTCCCGGCGCGGCAGCCGACACAGAGGACTCCACTTGCTCCTTCTGTTGATCAACAAGCGACGTGACTAGAGTCGTAAGTTGGGACAACTGCGTCTCTAGGGAACCCATCCTCTCACCAACATCCTGCGGATTACCCTGACTTTGGCCACCCGCAGGTGTCCCCGGTTCAGCCATGATGAGACAGGTTGATCAGGCCTTTCTCGTACAGCAGTCTAGTGCAGTCCTAGGGGACGACGGAGCAGTAGACACCAACGCTATAGCGTGTTGGTAAACCCTTGGCTCTTGGAGAAAGATGTTGTATTATTGAGAAACTGCCCTCTGAGACAGGTAGGCAAAGTGGAGTGACAGCGTGTGGGGGCTAGCTCGTGTGCTCCCAGCACCCCAGCCAACGATCAACACGCCAACACAAACACTATCGGAACAATATACTACTCGCAACGTTCCAACAACGTAATGTTCCGATCCCTACAACCGAACTAGAACAATTCCTGTTGAGGGTAATCATCCCACGTGCCACATCCATGCAACGTCCACACAACGTGCACCTAACGTGCACCCTACTGACTATCTGCTGATCCAACTCCGAACAGTATAACTTCCACAAGGAACTTTCTCTGGAACTACACAGACAGACAGTTAAGATATTCAAACCATCCAATCAGATGATCTACAGCAGCAGTTCAACCGATACACACTGCCGCTACATCACCAATAGTTGTTTCTCACAGATTAGCTCTTTAGTCCACAAAAAATGGGGAGCCCGTGATCTCCCCGGCACATATGACGCCGCGGGGAAACAAAACAAAAATAGGGTACAAACCACTTGGAAAAAGACATACAGGTAGCCTTCCGCTCACGCTATGGATTCATTGCTAATCTATCTTAGACTTATTTCTACAGATAGAGATGGATTTGTTGTGTGATATTAAGAAAAAATATACATGATAGAAAGAAAAGAACAGGTATCGCACCAACCGTTCGAGAAAAGAGCCCTCGGAAACCGATCAAAATGTCGTACGGAAGCATTTTTCATTTTCCTGTTTTTTTTCCGTCTCTTTGCACTCTTCTCAATCAAGTGGTGTTGTGTTGTGGTGTGCCACATCCCCCCAACGTGAACATCCTCCCTCTCTCTTGTACCTGCCCTACCTGTCCACCCGGACACAACCCAACCCTGCCTCTCTCTTGTGGGATCGAGATCACGCATTTCGCCGAAACGCTCGTCCTCCTTCCGAGAGAGCCGCAACACAAAAAGCGAGGAGACCACCCTTCGTACCGCAGGTCAGCCTGGTGAGACTGATTGCCGAATGGTACCTAAAAACTCACTAACTTATGAACCCATCATATCGTAGTTCACACCAGCAAACCAATGCATGTACTGCTGTCGCGTGTGTTTGTTGCCTACAGCCAAGATTGTTTCTTATGGACTACACGCGAGATATGTAGATCCAGCACACACACACTTAGCCACTGTGCTGCTCGTGCTCGGGTGAGTTTGTGGTGTACGCGCCCCGCGACGAAACAAGGTGTACACAGCAGACAGACTCAACGAATCAAACATCGGAGAAAAGGAGATTTCACGACCGAGTTGTGCCGGTTCATCAAATCTCCTATTTCTACATTTCTGCAACGTATTGTTCATTGGTTGGTGATGCGAACAACCACGGTCGGTCCACATCATGATCATCTGTCGTTCAATCAAGTGCCGTACGGCAGGGGCGTTGTCTTGTTGTCATCTTTGACGTTGATTGGGGGGTGAGCAAGAAGAAGAGAGAAGATGGAGCGAGCAGCTACATGTTGCAGCTGTCGAGTCCCGCGGAGACGTTCCGACTTACTGGATAATTGTAGTCTAGACTACATACCATACCTGTTCGCGTGCTCTCCAAAATTCACAGGCGTTGAATGCATGCATAAATACCCATATCCAAGGTAGCGACAGCCATCACAGACTATGCACACTGAGGTAGGTGTGCGGCTGATAGTTGTGTAGTCAACAAGCAGAGAGGCCCCCCCTCTTAGTTTCGTGCAGACCCCGACGACGACGTGAACACACGGGATTTGGATCTGTGATATTCGTTCTTGACAGGCCGCGTGTAGACTAGTCGTAGGATCGTCCAAGGGCATGACAAATTGCCGAAATACAACCCACGATCCATCGATCGCTGATGTGCAACACGCATAGCATCACAGCAAGGTAAGGTACTCGCACGCACTACTATGTGTGTAGTGCATGCACTCCACAGGAGTTTAATTGCGGGTGGGCATACTTACAATACCAGCAGTCCGCAGCTTGTTCCAGAGCAAAAACCAGCTTGAAGCCAGCACGAGTTTTTATTCAATGTTGAAGTCGGATCTTCAAGACCGCGAAAAATGTCGCCGAAAAGTTCCGATGACCCCTACACTCATGGTCCAAATACAAATAGCACATATATATATGCACCTCCACACGGAGGTTACTTGGACACCGACAGCAGCACCGCCGTAGCCGTGGCTTGTACATAACAAGAAACAATGCTCTGCTGAGATCTCGCATGCATGTCAACACCGTCCGTGGTGCGAGATCTCTAATGCGATGTACAAGTCGGATCTTCACTGCGAACAATGTCGCCGAAAAGTTCCGTTGATCGCTACACTCTTGGCCGATATTAACAACAAGCAAATCCCAATGCACCTCCACACCGAGTTTACTTGGATTCTTACACAGCAGCACACCGCCGTAGCCGTGAGCGGCTTTGTACACAATCAGCAAAAAACAGTGCATTATGCTGAATGCTGTGCTGACATTACGAATGCATATACCTTGCTTGGTACCACCCTCATCCTGCCTTCCGAAAAATTCCAAGCAAGGGGCCCCCGTTCGTTGCATTTGCCGCTTCAAGATGTGACTCCTTTGATGATCATCGCGCCCATCGTGATCGTAGTTGACCAGCGCTACACAGGATGGACTTAGTTGACCAACGCTCTGAAACCCCTCCAAGCAATCTTTTTCTTGTTCCTCCTGGTCTCGATCTTGATTATTTTTCGGTATATATGTCCGGAAAAACGCAAAAATATTATTCGAGCTCAATCCTAATAATCTCAACCCAACAATATATCCCTGCCCGCACTCGCAAACTCGCCGTTTCGACAAGGAAGGGGGGTTCTGCAGATGGATTCTGGGGCGGCGGAAAGATCGAAAAAAACAGGCGGTTCAAACTCTCGGTAGATTGCTCCATTATTAGTCGGAAGAGTTTTTGGACCAACCAATATAAACCTCCATCACTCCACGTCATCAGCTAATCCGATGAAACTGATGAGAAGCACGAGGCACATTTTGGCCATCTATGCTGTTATTGCCCGCTGTTCACAACCACAGACAGAAGCATGTGTCGCACAGACTGTGAGGTCCATACTAATATTCTCAGGACTGCGGTGATCAAGAACTTGACCCGCCGGGCCTGAAAACGATCCACGCAATAAATAGTTCTGCAAACCAATCTTCGACCCGTAGCTTGGGCACTCGTCCTGCTGACACTGCCATACCTGGAACCCTCTTGCTCCACGTTGTTACCGTGTAGCTTATGGCAACCGGAAGTCGCACAGAATCGACATGATAACAAACACGTTTATTTTAGTTTCCTCGCTCCTACTGCCCTTAGCAACAAGATTACCGCGCGCCTTCAGCATATAATTGCTCGAACGTTTCAGTGAGAGAAAGATGGAGATTATTCACATCTCACACTATTGTTGAATGAGAGATGGCTGCTGTTCAATGTTTTCTGGTTCCTTGTCGAATTCAACCTTTGACACCACCTGAATGTTCTTGGCCTTGACTGGTAACTCGCTACAACCACCCATTCACACCTGTGCTCCCGAAACATGTGACAGGCATGAACCATGGTACAAATCAACGTACTCAGCAAGCGACGAATTACCTTGCTCCAGATCCGGGCTTCTCGATGGCGGCCAACGATGTGTTCGGGATTCATCAGCTGCACTTGCAGCAGCAACGGCAGATTTCCGAGCTGACCGCGCGCTGCCATGAGCTTGCTGAAGCACAGGCCGAGGCACAGCGGGCGAGTGCTGCTGAGATCTGCCTCCTCAAATCGCAAGTGAACGAGCTCAAGAACCAGGTCGAAATATTCCGGGCGGATAGCAGGCAGGCTGCAGCTGAAGCAGCTTGTAGACCGTTCCCTATCTCAGGGTTGACGCGGATAGCATCCGGTGCGAATGGTCGTGGGAACACCGCAGTTGCGGACACGTACAACCCCCTTGCATTTGTCAACACCGCGGGCGCGGCAGCGTACACTGATCACATTCCCCTCGAGGACAGGGAAGCGATCAGGTCACGCATGCTGCGAGATCGTGGTCCGCAGGAGCGGCGTGAGCTACGACAACCTTCCGCCGTGGACACTCAAGCGGCAACGCATGAGTCATGTCTCCCTTCTTCTTCGGGGCCAGCTGGCTCAGAGCTCTCCCTTCCAATGGACGGTGAGGCGAAGAATTCAGGGTTCTTCTTCATTGTGCACCACTCACGCTACTGGGAGCTCTAAAGAATGAGCAGAATGGAACTTTCCTTAGGTAGCTGCCGAGTTGACGTGTCTCGGCGGGGGTTATCCTTCGCAACAGATAAGATGCAGGAGGCTGGGGACTGGTTGCTTTTTGTAGCATCGACATGCTCTCTTGAGAAAAATGCCGCTGACGACTGTACAGCACAGAAGGCGTTGGAGATCGGAGGGGCAGGGAACTATGAGTTGGGCGCCGTTAGCCGTTACACACACAAACACGCGAGGAGTACCATACTTCGCGGTTTTTAAATATCTCGAGGTATGCACGCGTGATATTGCTCACGTATTCCAGCACATGGTAGCTGTCGTACTTAAACTTGACGTGTTGACGTCTCCACTCTTTCGTCCGGCTTCCCAGACACTGCTTCTAACGGAGCAACCTCGCCCCAACCCGAGCACCGTCAAGAAATCGAAGCCGCTGATCATGATAGCGAAGAAACGGAGGATGAGTGCTTAGACAGGCATATTGAGACGGATGGTGATGACGATGATGACTTCTCGGACCACGAGCTCCCCCTCTCACCCAACTCCGTTAACACCGTGGCATCGAGAATCTGTTTCGGCTGGGATGGCAAGCAAGAACCACGCGCTCAACAGGACGGCGAGGAACCTCGCGAGCCACGGCTTTGTGGAGAGGCCCGTCTGGCGCCTCGGTCAACTTCAGCAGCGGCAGACGAACAGGCTGTGATCCCTAGGCTTGCCGGTGTGAAGACGGAAGCCGAAAGCGCCCTGAGAGATCACCGTGGGCGCGATGTTCAAGCCTCGGGGAGCCCATTGCTCAACAGCGTTGAGGCTAGCACGAGCCAAGGTTCGGAGACTGCAGGAGGCGTCACTACGCCGTCGTTCGTCGAGAACGACACAATTCCCGGCGGATATATGCATACGTCGCCAGCGTGTGATGTTGGGGCTCGCTACAAGCACCAGCTGTTCTCTGCATGTAAGAGTTCCGCGTGTGGGCGACTCTGCACGGGTGCTTAAGTTGTTTGGTTGTGCATTTGTTTTCAAACCCTCGTGTCATCACCCGCGCTCCCGTCTTCCAACCCCACATGTCTCGCCGATGTGGGTAGCGTGGAGCTCGTTTCATATCGTGTGTAGCTGCGGTATACTAGAGCAATGGGGGTACGTTGAAGGTATTTAGCTGGTTACTGCACAGGAAGTTCAATCCATGCGATAATAGTTGCGCAGTGTGTGGTTCGGCTGATTTGCTCCATGTTGTCATCACTGTGGTCTTGGACAAAGAAGTTGAATTCAAAAGTAAAATGCCTCCGACTCGCCCTTGGCTAACATGCGCGAGTTCCTGATACGATACGAGTCCTGCCATCGCTACAACACCATACCGCTCACCACCCTATGTGCTTGTGCCCTCAACGAGGGTAGAGCTAACGATCGTTTTATGGCGGAAGGCTGGAACTGTCACGAATTCGCAACTGCGGTATGTACATGTCAATTGGACGTGTGCCACGACGTTTGGCTTTTCCGTTGTCAACCATCACGGGCAACCTGCAATTCTCCCCAAGACGCGTGACCTAGCCAACAACATGCTGGTCCCCGTAAATCGTCGGCGTTGCGTCTCGCAGCCCCGACGAATCCAATCACAAGCACATATATCGTGAGCGACTCAACCAACAACTCAACTGGTCTATCGGACCCTATCGCCCAACGTGACGCTCCCGACGTGGAGACGGGGGAGAAGAGTGACACCTTCAGCGCTTCAGAGGCTGAAGATACTCGCTCAATCCCCCGCGACAGGTACCGGCATTGTACATTTTGCAGCGTATGCGAGAAACCCCGCACAGAACCAAAGGCAGTGGCCAAGTGCGAGGCATGCCCTCGCATCTTGTGCCGCAAGTGCGCAGGCCGCGAGGGCGAGACATTGCCCAAAGCGAGGTATGCGGATGACGTCGTGTTGCCGTTGCATAAGTGCCTTTGCCAGACGAAGGACTCAAGAGTTCCCCAAACCCAAGAAGGGCAAGGACCCGCAGGCTCACCTGCTGAAGCATATTGTAAGGCATGGTTTGTCAGTGATGTTTCGAGAGCCAGTTGACATCGAGGCCACTCGGGATATCTCGGCGTTGTCACACGTGAGGACATGATGTGGACCTTGGCACCATGGAAAAGAGATTGTTCAAGAAGAAGCAGTACCAGTCCCCTCGAGGTCAGCCAAAGTTCAGAACAGATCTGGAAAAATTTTGGGTCAAGTGCTGGAAGTATGCTGGCTACAAGGCAGGCAGCAGCGACGACCGCGCCGGTCACCGACACAACAAACACGAGCATGTGCTGTCGGCACCAAAGTGCTCCGATCTCGACGAATTTGTGCCTAAACGTCGCCTACCCGCCATCAAATTGAAGCCGTGTCCAATCTACAGCTGGGTTGACAGTCTTTCGACACTGGAGTAGCTGTGCGTGTCTACCAACTTTTCCTGTCAATCAGAGGTTCGAGCCACACCGCTGTAACCTCTGGACGAGGACGTCTGTTCCGACGCAGTTATTTTTTTCGCACGCACACAAATGATGATTGATGATTGATGTCCCGCCAGCAGTGATTGTAGTGTTTCTAATGTACGGTGCGCGCATAACACACGTTCTTCGGTTGGAACTGGTGCGACCCACTTCGAGGCCGGGATTAGCCTGCCAACGACAAGGTCGGGGCACACCTCTGTCACCTGCCCCGCGGAGGGTGTTCATTTCGCTGGGTTTTCGATCGTTACTAGTGCAGTGTTGTATTCTTGTTTTACGCACGCGGGTACATCCATGTTCTTAGTCGGCCCCATGGATTATGAATTCTTGGCCATCCATACGATGAATGAATTCAACCAGAAGAATCAAATCACAGCCGCGTACTTTTTTTTTATATTTTCTTAATATCACACAACATAGTCTATCCATCTTTTTTGAACGCAGAACCAAAGATTTGTTGCGGTTGCATTCATAAATATGTGGGTCTTTTGTCTCGTGTGTACTCTCCCCACCAGATTGACTCAGTATTCACTCCGATCTCGACGCATTTGCGCGTCCGCGCGTATAGTTGCCTCTCTGCCCGGGATTGTCCTGCCAACGGGTCGGGGCACACATCTATCTGTCAGGTGCCCCGCGAAGCCTGCTTATATGCTTGTGACGTTATTTATAGGCACACACAAATTATTTGTGTTGTGTTATTTTACGTGCGCGCGCATCATTGTGCTTGGTGTATTTGTATTGGTTGGATGATTATTCACGAAGAAAGCGGACTTCAATATCGTGCCACGTGAGACACCAAGGGGGGCTGTTTGGGATCAATCACACCTCCTTCTCAAACCTGCAGCACCGCGTACCACCTCACAAAAAAAAACTCCTAGAGCACCAGCACGGTTGCCCGAGGCAAGCTGCGATACAATAATCGAGGACGATTCCCTTCTTTCAAAACACGCTGCATTTGGATGGGCACAAAGTTGTCCGTATTTAACATCTCAGTACCAGGTTTGACCTTGCTTCAAGATCAAACGAGGTTGGTTCAGGATGAGTGCACGGTTGTTCGGACGTACAAAAGAAGTCCAGACGGGAATCAATCCCTCCTTTGAAGAAGCTTCCTAGGGAATCGAGAGTAGGCTGTAGCATGACCGAAGCACAGCTAGCTGTATTTATCGGTCGGCGTCATATTCCAACAGGAGAACGAAGAGAAATGGCTTTCGACGCAACCTTCCGCAGATCGAAACCTCTTTTACATCTGGAACTCGTCGATTAGGGCTTAGGACAGTTCACCTATACCGTGGCACCCGTTTCGTTGAATAGCGACCAACAAAACAGTCTATTCCTCTTTGACTTCACATCAACATAACTATGCTCCCTCCATGTCAAAAACATCAACTGTCCGACCGTTTCGTATTCGTAGTTCGCCGCACGGGCCAGGCCCGCTTTTGTTTTTTGGCCGGCATCCCTCCCTCGAAAACTACGCCAACAAGTACGAGCGTGAGCGTTCCGATACTCCATACATACGGACGCGCCGGTCGAGAATGACCCTGAAGCACCCAACACGCTTCCCAGACTTAACCTGGAGATGGACCTAAAATTCAGGATCGGTCGCAGGTAGCAACGAATGCAGGTAGCAACGAACGGCAAACCGCAAACCGTGATCAAACCGTGACGGCTCATCAGAAGCATACCTCCTTTCGAGAGGCGGTCAACCACTGCGATATGTACCTCGACGCATGTTTTACGTTTCTGGTCTCGGTTTTCATGTTTTGGCGGGTTTCGATGGACTTTCACCAGCTGTTCGAAGTTTCACGGGCAGGTTTAGTACAGTACAATACTGCCAGTATTTTCAGTATTGCAGTACCTTTGGCCATAATATACTGTACTGCACGCTGTAGTACAGCTTTCAATACTGGAATAAAAATACTGCACTCTTCAGTACAGCTCTCGATACTGGAATATACTGTACTGGCAGTACGGCTCTCGGTACTGTACTGTACTGGACGCTTTAGTACAGCTTTCGATACTGGAATAAAAATACTGCACTCTTCAGTACAGCTCTCGATACTGGAATATACTGTACTGGCAGTACGGCTCTCGGTACTGTACTGTACTGGACGCTTTAGTACAGCTTTCGATACTGGAATAAAAATACTGCACTCTTCAGTACAGCTCTCGATACTGGAATATACTGTACTGGCAGTACGGCTCTCGGTACTGTACTGTACTGGACGCTTTAGTACAGCTTTCGATACTGGAATAAAAATACTGCACTCTTCAGTACAGCTCTCGATACTGGAATATACTGTACTGGCAGTACGGCTCTCGGTACTGTACTGTACTGGACGCTTTAGTACAGCTTTCGATACTGGAATAAAAATACTGCACTCTTCAGTACAGCTCTCGATACTGGAATATACTGTACTGGCAGTACGGCTCTCGGTACTGTACTGTACTGGACGCTTTAGTACAGCTTTCGATACTGGAATAAAAATACTGCACTCTTCAGTACAGCTCTCGATACTGGAATATACTGTACTGGCAGTACGGCTCTCGGTACTGTACTGTACTGGACGCTTTAGTACAGCTTTCGATACTGGAATAAAAATACTGCACTCTTCAGTACAGCTCTCGATACTGGAATATACTGTACTGGCAGTACGGCTCTCGGTACTGTACTGTACTGGACGCTTTAGTACAGCTTTCGATACTGGAATAAAAATACTGCACTCTTCAGTACAGCTCTCGATACTGGAATATACTGTACTGGCAGTACGGCTCTCGGTACTGTACTGTACTGGACGCTTTAGTACAGCTTTCGATACTGGAATAAAAATACTGCACTCTTCAGTACAGCTCTCGATACTGGAATATACTGTACTGGCAGTACGGCTCTCGGTACTGTACTGTACTGGACGCTTTAGTACAGCTTTCGATACTGGAATAAAAATACTGCACTCTTCAGTACAGCTCTCGATACTGGAATATACTGTACTGGCAGTACGGCTCTCGGTACTGTACTGTACTGGACGCTTTAGTACAGCTTTCGATACTGGAATAAAAATACTGCACTCTTCAGTACAGCTCTCGATACTGGAATATACTGTACTGGCAGTACGGCTCTCGGTACTGTACTGTACTGGACGCTTTAGTACAGCTTTCGATACTGGAATAAAAATACTGCACTCTTCAGTACAGCTCTCGATACTGGAATATACTGTACTGGCAGTACGGCTCTCGGTACTGTACTGTACTGGACGCTTTAGTACAGCTTTCGATACTGGAATAAAAATACTGCACTCTTCAGTACAGCTCTCGATACTGGAATATACTGTACTGGCAGTACGGCTCTCGGTACTGTACTGTACTGGACGCTTTAGTACAGCTTTCGATACTGGAATAAAAATACTGCACTCTTCAGTACAGCTCTCGATACTGGAATATACTGTACTGGCAGTACGGCTCTCGGTACTGTACTGTACTGGACGCTTTAGTACAGCTTTCGATACTGGAATAAAAATACTGCACTCTTCAGTACAGCTCTCGATACTGGAATATACTGTACTGGCAGTACGGCTCTCGGTACTGTACTGTACTGGACGCTTTAGTACAGCTTTCGATACTGGAATAAAAATACTGCACTCTTCAGTACAGCTCTCGATACTGGAATATACTGTACTGGCAGTACGGCTCTCGGTACTGTACTGTACTGGACGCTTTAGTACAGCTTTCGATACTGGAATAAAAATACTGCACTCTTCAGTACAGCTCTCGATACTGGAATATACTGTACTGGCAGTACGGCTCTCGGTACTGTACTGTACTGGACGCTTTAGTACAGCTTTCGATACTGGAATAAAAATACTGCACTCTTCAGTACAGCTCTCGATACTGGAATATACTGTACTGGCAGTACGGCTCTCGGTACTGTACTGTACTGGACGCTTTAGTACAGCTTTCGATACTGGAATAAAAATACTGCACTCTTCAGTACAGCTCTCGATACTGGAATATACTGTACTGGCAGTACGGCTCTCGGTACTGTACTGTACTGGACGCTTTAGTACAGCTTTCGATACTGGAATAAAAATACTGCACTCTTCAGTACAGCTCTCGATACTGGAATATACTGTACTGGCAGTACGGCTCTCGGTACTGTACTGTACTGGACGCTTTAGTACAGCTTTCGATACTGGAATAAAAATACTGCACTCTTCAGTACAGCTCTCGATACTGGAATATACTGTACTGGCAGTACGGCTCTCGGTACTGTACTGTACTGGACGCTTTAGTACAGCTTTCGATACTGGAATAAAAATACTGCACTCTTCAGTACAGCTCTCGATACTGGAATATACTGTACTGGCAGTACGGCTCTCGGTACTGTACTGTACTGGACGCTTTAGTACAGCTTTCGATACTGGAATAAAAATACTGCACTCTTCAGTACAGCTCTCGATACTGGAATATACTGTACTGGCAGTACGGCTCTCGGTACTGTACTGTACTGGACGCTTTAGTACAGCTTTCGATACTGGAATAAAAATACTGCACTCTTCAGTACAGCTCTCGATACTGGAATATACTGTACTGGCAGTACGGCTCTCGGTACTGTACTGTACTGGACGCTTTAGTACAGCTTTCGATACTGGAATAAAAATACTGCACTCTTCAGTACAGCTCTCGATACTGGAATATACTGTACTGGCAGTACGGCTCTCGGTACTGTACTGTACTGGACGCTTTAGTACAGCTTTCGATACTGGAATAAAAATACTGCACTCTTCAGTACAGCTCTCGATACTGGAATATACTGTACTGGCAGTACGGCTCTCGGTACTGTACTGTACTGGACGCTTTAGTACAGCTTTCGATACTGGAATAAAAATACTGCACTCTTCAGTACAGCTCTCGATACTGGAATATACTGTACTGGCAGTACGGCTCTC